GCGGCGACGGCGGCGACGGCGACGGCGACGGCGACGGCGACGGCGATGGCGGCCCGCCGCCAAAGAGCGCCCCGAACCGATCGAGGCCCCAACCAGGATCCCGAAGTGGACCCCCCGAACGCGTCGCGCGCCGCTCCGCCGTCCGTGCGCGCCCCCCTCGCACGCGGCCCGCCCGCGAGCCCCCGGCGACCCGCGCCGCCCGAGCGCGTCTCGGAGACTCGTCCGCCTCCCCCCGTGCCCATGCGGGGAAGCCTTCGTCGGAGCAGCAAGAGTTCATGAGAACAATACGGTAGAGGGAAACAATTAGAACACCCCCCCTCTCCCCCGAACTCAATGTTGGCACGCGCGGGGGAGACTGCGGTCGAAGTGCATCTCATCAGACCCACCGCCAACTCTGAACATTGGGGGGAGGGGGAGGCGTTGATGGATGAATGTGGCATGTGTTCGCTAATTTGTTCCGAGGCCTGTACGTTCCAAGATGTCCCAGATTCCCTGGTGTCCCGCAGGGGCTGCAGAGACGAGGGCCGCTAGATGCTCGGGAAATCTTGAAGCGCGTCTCGTGCCAACCTTATCATGACATCGTTCCCGTCCTATGTCGTGGGCGCTCCCCTGCGACGCTCTCCTCGCCTGCGACAGCTCCGCGCCGCAGTGTACTGACGAGGCGACATGAGGCTGGAGCTTCACCTTGGCCGTGCCTGCCTCGACGGGCTTAGTGGGTTTCTGCGGCCCCACCATACTGGACCCCGCTAGGACGGGATGCCTCGGTGCTGAACATCATACGAATAATAGTGGTGGTGAGTTATATGAGTTACATGTTTCCTGGTGCTGGATACGTGAATGTAATGCGTCATAATACTCATCACCGATGGTCGTCAAGTATGATTCGGCGTATGCCGCTGGCGTGGCACAGCGGAGCATCCGAGCACGGGCGAACCTTCACGTTGTGTTGTGGTTTCGCTATGTCTATGATATGGTTGTTAGTCGTGCTGTTTTTAGGAATGAGAGCCATACGGGAGAATACCTGAAAGAGCGTGCTGTGGTGCCTCTGGAATATACCGTGGCCCAACTGATGTATATCGTTGGGTGAGTTATTTGAGCTAATTTGTGGTGGTATGAAGTCAGGCAGCCCCTGATTACGTTCAACAGGAGCTTCTGTTGACGGCAGTCTACGTGCCGGCCATCGAAGATGACCCACAACAGTCGACGGCCCCCAAACAGTTTAGTGACCACACCGCGTGGTGAGTCAGTGGGGATTCGGAGTGACGGCACAGCCTTGGGACTTGGGTCATTCTCCGAGGACGTCTCGGGCTACAGGGGCCTCCGAGGTCTTAAGACCGTGCGGTGGCGGACCGCGCGGTGAGGTCTCTTAGGATTTCGAGGTCACTGCGCGGTCCGTCACCACACGGCCTCGGAACCAGCCCAAGAGGCCCCCAAAACGACCCCAAGGGGGCTCCGACATGGCCTAAGAGGCCCCCGTGATGTCTCTAAGAGGCTGGCGCCGCCGACTATGATCCGCAAGGCTCCCTTGCCGAATCGCTTGCGATTGTGCCCCACGGGTGCACACTAGTCAGCTACAGCACTGGGATCAGCGCGTGCGAGAGGGGGGGGCAGTGGCAGCGGGCGCTGTTGCTGCTCATCGAGATGCGGGAGGCGAAAGTGGAGCCCGACGTGATCAGCTGCAGCGCTGTCGTCAGCGCTTGCGGTAAAGCCGAGCAGTGGCAGCAGGCGCTGTCGTTGCTCCGGGAGATGTGGGAAGCGAAGTTGGATCCCGACGTCATCGGCTACAACGCTGGAATCAGCACGTGCGATCTAGTGGGGCAGTGGAAGCAGGCGCTGTCGTTGCTCAGCGAGATGCGGGGGGCGAGTTTGGAGCCCGACATTATCAGCATTACAATTCAGGTCGAAGCGCCGTCCCAGAACGAGAAGCAGCGAGAAGATGGCGGGGGGTGATACCAGTTTGGCTGGGAGAATACGAACTCATATTTAGGATGGACGATGGGGCATAATCAAATCTAAATTGCAATACGGAAAGGTGGATCGTTAATTCCGGGGGATTCGAGTCTATTCTTCTTATAAAAAGAAGAATTTAATTTCTGTTCGCACTGAGATGTCCACTCCACTGCTCGCGCAAACATTCCACCCACCCACCCGCAACTTGGTTTGCAAAACCTCTTAAGACCGTGACGGTGGGTACCCAATAGCACTAGGCAGCGACACCGACGACGACAGCGACAATGACGACGACGACGACGACGACAACACCGACGACGACGACGACGCCGACAACAACGACGACGACGACGATGACAACGACGACGACGACGACGCCGACGCCGACAACGACGACGACGCCGACGACGACGACGACGAAGACGACGACAACGACGACGACGACGACGTCGCCAACGAAGACGACGACGAGGGAGGAGGGAGGACGACGACGGCGGCAACGACGACAACGACGAGGGAGGAGGGAGGACGGCGACGACGCGAACGACGAAGAAGAAGAGAGGACGGCGACGACGACGACGACGACAGCGACGAAATACGAGGGACAACGACGAAACGCCGACGAAGACGATGAGGGAGGAAGGACGACCACGGCGACAACGACGACGGAAACGACGACGACGCCAAGACGACGACGACGACGACGAGGAAAGACAGAGGACGACGACGGCGGCGACGACGACGACGACGACGACGAGGGAGGAGGGAGGACGGCGACGACGACGACGACGACGCAAGAGCGCGCTCGAGCACGCTTTTGTTGCAAATCCGTGTTGCGAAACCCTGTGTTTTTGTACGTTTTTTGACACGATTTTGAAATCCTTCCGGAACCGAAAGTTTTTGAAGGATTTCGGCATGCACGCGCGACGACGCGCGCGTGTGCATTTCGTCGCGTGTTTTGCATAGGATTCTCGCGACGGCACGCGCGCAAGGGCGCTCGAAAGATTTCGACATGCTCGCGCGAAGCCCGTTTGGCCGCATTCCTTGCGAATCCCATGTATATATATATATATATATACGTCTATAAGAAAAAGTTTTCTGAATATTTCGCAAGAGCGCGCGCGTAAGTTTTTTAGTTAGCAAATCCGTGTTGCGAAACCCTGTGTTTTTGTATGTGTTTTGAAGCTCGATGTTGACATCCTTCCGAAATCGAAGGTTTTTGAAGGAATCCGGCATGCGCGCGCGACGGCGCGCGCGTGTGCACTTTGCCATCATGGGGGGTACCGGCTTGGCTGGGATAGTACGAACTCATATTTAGGACGGGCGATGGGGAAGAATCAAATGGAAATTGCAATACGAAAAGGTGGATCGTTAATTCCGGGGGGGTAATCTATTCTTCTTTTAGAAAGGGGAATGGGTTTTATAATCGAGCTGGCAAATTCCATGCCCTTGCGAACGCCCTACCCACCCGCCCGCAACTTGGTTTGCAAAACCCATGCGGCGGTGATTGCGATGAGTGCCTGGCGCTGGCTGGTGCATCTGCGGTCGCGCCAGCCCGCGCATGCGCTCGCGCGCAGCGGCCAGCTAGTTTGGCGCGACCGACGCGGCCGCGGTGGCGCTGACAGCTGGGCACTGCCCAGCGGGCACTTGAGTGCGAGTCGGTGACTTGGGCGAGCGCGGTATCATGGCAACGTCGACGACGGTAGACACGATGATGATAGTAGCGGTGTCGATGACGATGTTAACAGCGACGACGGCAGGGCCAGCGACGGCGCCGACGCTGATCACGCCGACGACGATGACGGCGTTCCCGAGTCGACGAAGAAAGGTTGTTGGAAGAGTTCGACATGCGCGCGCGGCCGACGCGCGAGAGTGGCCGCATGGTTTCATTTGACACAGATTGCGTTGCCCCCCCCCAAAAAAAAACCCGCGCAAGGGCTTTCGAATGATCTCGGCCTGCGGCGCGAGAGGCCCGCTTGGTAGAATACCATGAAAGTGTTGAAGACCGCGTGGCTTATTCAAATATTCGCAAGAGCGCGCGCCAGTTTTTTGAAACTGTCGTTGCGAAACCATATGTGTTTTAGTGTGTCGGGACACTCGGTTCTGAAAGCCTTGCGGAGCCTAAGGTTTTTGAAAGATTTTGGCGCGCGGGCGACGGCGCGCGCGCTCATGTCATTCCATAGTTTACAAAGGATCCTCGCGACAGCACACGTGCAAGGGCGTTCGAATGATTTCGGCATGCGCGCGCGAAGCCCGTTTGGTTGTATCGTATGAAAGTTGAACATGTATGGTTTGCTTCAGAATTCGCATGAGCGCGGGCGCGAGCTCTCTTTTGTAAAAACCAGCGTCGCGAAACCATGTCTTATGTGTGCTTTGGACATTCGATTTTGCAGCCCTGACGAAAGTAAAGGCTTTTGCCGGATTTCGACATGCGCGCGCGACGGCGCGCGCGCATGTGTGCTTCGTCCCATTTATTACGATGCATGTTCGGGAAATCCTTTTATGAAGATCAAGCTCGCCCGCAGAATGGGTGTTGCAAAGGATGACGGGGGGACCGACACCAGCCTGCTTGGGATGATACGAGCACATGCTTAGGCTTGGCGTTGGGGCAGAATCATATGAAACTTGCACTACGAAAAGGGGGGCTTCACCCCCGGGGGGAGGGGGGAGATCTAAACACTCTCTTGAAATGGGGAACCCAAGCGTTGTGCAATCGATGCGGCGCGTCAAAGGTGTTGCAACAGGCGTGGCGCAATCTAAGCTTTGTGAAATTGATATGTTGTGCAGCGTGCGTGGTGCAATCTGTGTGGCGAAATCTCCACAGTCTGAACTTGAAGTCGTCATCTCCACTGCGCGCAAACATCCCACCCACCCACCCGCAATTGTGAATTGACTACCCTGCACCGCGCTTGACCACCTCCACTGCTCGCGCAAACATCCCACCCACCCACCCGCAACTTGGTTCGCAAAGTCTCTTGAGACTGTGACGGTGGGTACCACATGGCACTTGGCAACGACAGCGACGCCGACGACAGCGACAACGACGACGACGACGACGCCAACAACGACTACAACGACACCGACGACGTCTCCAACGACTTCGACGACGCCGACAACGACGACGACGACGACGACACCGACGACGACAGCGACGACGCCGACGCCGACGACGACGACAACGATGACAACGACGACGACGATGACGACGCCGACGACGACGACGACGACAACGACGACACCGACGACGACGACGACACCGACGACGACGACGACGACGACGTCAACGACGCCGACGACGACGACGACGACGACGACGACGACGACGACGACGACGGCGGCGACGACGACGCCGACGTCGACGAAGACGACGACGACGACGAAGACGACGACGACGTCGCCAACGAAGACGACGACGAGGGAGGAGGGAGGACGACGACGGCGACAACGACGACAACGACGACAACGACGAGTGAGGAGGGAGGACGGCGACGACGCGAACGACGAAGAAGGAAGAAGGACGGCGACGCCGACGACAACAACGACGAGGGAGGAGGGAAGACGACGACGACGACGACGACAACGACGACGACGATGACGACGACGACGACGACGACGCGACGGCGACGAAATACGAGGGACGACGACGAGACGCCGACGACGGACGACGACGATGACGAGAGAGGAGGAGGAAGGACGACCACGGCGACAACGACGACGGAAACGACCACGACGCCAAAGAGGACGACGACGACGAACACGAGGAAAGACAGAGAACGACGTAGGCGACGACGACGACGACGACGCGGGAGGAGGGAGGACGGCGACGACGACGACGACGACGACGACATCGACGACGCAAGAGCGCGTGCGCACGCTTTTGTTGAAAATCCATGTTGCCAAACCTTGTGTTTTTGTATGTTTTTTGGACACGATTTTGAAGCCCTTCCGAAACCGATGGGTTTTGAAGGATTTCGGCATACGCGCGCGAGGACGCGCACGTCTGCACTTCGTCCCATTTGTTGCAAAGGATTCTCGCGACGGCACACGCGCAAGGGCGTTCGACAGATTTCGACATGCGCGCGCGAAGCCCGTTTGGTAGCATCTTGTGAAAATCTTGAAAACCCTATGGTTTGCCTAAGATTTCGCAGGAGCTCGCGCGTAAGCTTTTTTAGCAAATCAGTGTTGCAATAACATGTGTTTTTGTATGTTTTTGGGAATTCGGTTGCGAAATCTTTCCGACACCGAAGGTTTTTGAAGGATTGCGGCATGCGCGCGCGACGACGAGCGCGTGCGCATTTCGTCCCATTTTCTGCAAGGGGTTCATGCAAACTTCTGATTTGTGATAAACGAGTGTGCGCGCATTTTTTGTTTTGCAAAGGATGGCGGGGGGGGCGAGACCGGTTCCCCTGGGATAGTGTAAATTCATATTTAAGATGGACGTGTGGTCAGATTCATCTTTGATTTACATACCCGAAAGGGGGGCGGATAACGCCGGGGGGGGTAGAATCTGTTCGGTTTTTAGAAAGGAGAGCTTATGTGTACAAACGAGTTGGCAAATCCCATGTTTTTGCGAACATCCCACCCACCCACCCGCAAGTTGGTTTGCAAAACCCAAGCGGGGGCGATTGCGATGGGTGCTTGGCGTTGGCTGGTGCATCTCTGCGGCCGCGCTAATCCGCGCATGCTCGCGCGCACAGCGGCCACCTAGTTCGGCGCGACCGACGCGGCCGCGGCGGCGGGCACCTTAGCGCGGATCGGTGACTTGGGCGGGCGCGGTATCATGGCGACGCCGACAAGGATAGACACGATTCTGATAGATGACGAACGTGGCGATGACGACGGCACGGCCAATGACAGCGCCGATAACGATGACGAGATCCTCGCGTCGGCGATGGAGGTTTTTTGAAGGAGTTCGACATGCGCGCGCGGCCGACGCGCGAGAGTGGCCCGCGTGGCATTATTTGACACGGATCGTGCCCCCCCCCCAAAAAAAAAACGCGCGCAAGGGTTTTCGAATGAGTTCGACATGCGGCGCGAGAAACCCGTCTGGCACAATGGGGTGAAAATGTTGAACACCGTGTGGTTTGCTCAAGAATTCGCAAGGGCTCGGGCGCAAATGTTGTTTCGCAAAGGTTCGTTACGAAACCATGTGTTTGATTGCACGTTTTCGTGACAGACGGTTTTGAAAATCCCACGGAGCCGAAGATTTGTTCAAGGATTTCGGTATGCGCGCGCGACGATGCGCGCGCGTGTGCACTACATAAACGAGAGCGCGCGTATATAGCATATGTTGCAAAGTATGGCGTGGGTGTCGACACCCGCCGGGTTGGGCTGATGCGATGGTACGAAGTCGCATTCCGGATGGACGTTGGGGAGGAACCATATGCAAATCGCGATACGAAGAAGTGTATCTTTAATTTCCGGAGGGGGGAGCTTTTATCTTGTTCGAAAGGAGAATTGATTATTACAAGTGGGTTGGCAAAGTCCACGTTTTTGCAAACATCCCACCCACCCACCCGCAATTTGGCTTGTTGAACCCATGCGGCGGTTGACGTTGGATCGTGTACGCGGGAGCGCAATTCCTGAATAATTGCGAGGAAGTTCTTTGCGAGAGCACGATTTGGGAATAAATTGTCAGGACGTATCAGGCGGGAGCCATTGTTGTTGTAGTTCGGGGCCAAACAACAAAAACAGAGTGCGAACCCCAGGAAAGATGCCACGGTTACTGGAGGGGGGATCAACAATATTTACGCCCAGAAATGAGAATTCAATAATAATAGCAATAACAACAGCAAAGACAGCAACAACAAAGCATCAACAAGTTTAAGATGGTTTGCTTATATCCAGGAGCAGGAAAACTAGCGGCAGAACCTGAAGGGCTGGTCGGGCTGGCGGACCCGAGCGGGTGGGTCGTTGAAGCAGTCCTGCATGAATCGGGAGGAAGTCTCGAGCGATAGTGCGATTCCGAAGTAAATCGCGATGAAGTCCAAAGCGGGAGCCTGATTCCTGAATGTAGCGGGCGCGGCGGCGTAATCAATTGCGATGTCCCACGCGAGGGCGCCCGCGCGAGAGCGCGATTTTGAATAAATTGTAGCCGTTGTTTCGATAAACCGGGAGCCAACAACCCAGTCTGAGGCGCGAGATCTTCAATTGAAAAAAGACCGGGTGCAAGCCCCAGGAGCCCAGAAGGAGCGTTTCAAATGGAAAAGCACAAGGTGCATTCGAGGACGCAACCCAAAGGATATACCAAATGTTCGGCCATGCGAGCGTCGAGGCCATCGGGAGATTCGTGTGATCGTCGCTCGTTTGCCTTCTTGCCCCGCTCCAAGTTCCTCGCCCATTTGCCATCGTTCCCCTCACCTTGCTGCTTGCTCATCTCCCCTCTCTCCTCCTCGCTCCTTTCTCCTAGCCTTGTGGAAGTCGATTAACGGAGAGGAAACATGCTGCCAAACAACTTCCAGATGTCTAAAAGATGTTGTTTCAAAAATGTTTTAAATATGAAAAGAACGGTTGATTTCAATGATAGGATTGGCACATGCTAAGTTCATTTTACACATGATAATGATAAACACATGTTTACCACATGTTAAGCCACATGTGTTAAACACACGGCTTCACACATGGCTTACCACACGTCAAACACACAATGATACATTCATCTTACACCCTGGTTTTGTTAGACCATGTTCTACACATGTTAAACACATCTTTAACTCAATGATAGGATGGTTAGGGTGCCCACTGCCGTGGCATCCACAATCCCAGCCCCGGACACCTTCCGAGCCGGTAGGGCCGCCGCGGCCTCGAAAGGGCCGGGCGTGCTTCGAGAACGGCCCCAGGCCGAGATGCCTCCGGACGGCTTGACGCAGCAGGTGGCAGCGAGCGGACCAGCAGGTGACTCGGGGGTGGACAGAGCCCCCAACAGTGACACGTCGATGGGTGAATTGTCCGTTCTCGGTTCTCGAGAGGGCGCCGTGGCCGTTATTTTCCAGGCTTGCGCCCGCCAGGTGTGGGCCTCAGGTCGTTTTCCACTTAACCATGTTTTACTAAAGGGGGGGCTGTCCATCCCCGAGTAACTCGACTAGACATAAGAGTGACCTTTCGCCGGAGGACCCTTTGGTGCGGGCACAGATGGGCCCTCAGGTGGCCGAAAACGAAGCGGTAGCAGCGGCTTGCGCGCCCAGGTCTGGTCTCCCCGGGGCCCCCAAAAAGTCGCGCACCAAGGGCCATTCTTACCCAGGGTCACTCTTGCGTGTAGCCGAGTACAGTGAGCGGCTTGAATAAGGAACACTTGCTTTTCAAAAGGGGCTCGGTCGTTCCTTAGGCTTCCATGCGTTCTTTACAGTTCCCTATGCGTTATGTATTATGTGTCGTTCCTTACGCGTTATTCCTTGGGATAAAAAATCGGAGGCGGGCGCGGGGGGGAAATGAGAAGGGGCGGGACTTCCGAGGCTTCTGAGAAGTTTTCGGACTTCTGAGAGGGCTTCTGAGAAGTTCAGTCTGTTTTCGAAATAGGCTAAGGAGACCTCTCAGAAGTCCCCTGGACTTCTAAGAAGTCCCGCGGCCTTCTGAGAAGGCCTGCTCCTTCTCATTTCCCCCCTGGGCCCGCCGCCGAAAAAAAAAGGGGCTTCGTTCCTCATTTATCGTTCCTTAGGTCAGGCCGATGACTGCAGCGCAACGAGCAGCAAGCCATCCGATGAGCAGGCAGGCCACGCCCGGCAGGCCGCGAGGCCAGCGATTTCGCCGGCAGGGACTGCAGACAGGAGAGGGGAACAAGCAGACGATCCACACCTTGCATGCGAGCACACATTCTTCATTTCTCATTCTTCCAGTTCGCTGATTTTTGTTGGGGGGGGCAAGATCCTCTCACTTCTAATTGTTCTGTCCTGGGCCTCTTCCTGGCCAGTAAGGGGCCAGGAGCCATTAGAGACGAGCACACTTAGAAATGAGCACGATTAGAAACGAACGACGTGTAGGCTTCAGTGGCCGCTGGGTCAGGTGTAATCAGGTCAGGGCGCTCCAGCCCGAGTCAGCTACAACGCTGCGGTGAACGCATGCAAGAGAGGAGGTCGGTGGCAACGGGCTCTGTTCCTGTTTGGGGAGATTCGGGAAGTGAACTTGGAACCTGACGTCATCAGCTACCACGCCGGGATGAGCACGTGCAATAGAGGCAGGCAGTGGCAGCGGACCCTATCGCTGCTAGGAGAGATGGTGGAGGCGAAGCTGGAGCGCGACGTCAAGAGCTACAACATCGGAATCTCGGCGCACGAGAAGGGCAAGTGGCGGTGGCAGTGGGCCCTGGCACTGTTCCGCGAGATGCGAGAAGCGAAGCTGGAGCCCGACGCCGCCTGCACTACGACAATCGGCATCCTGCGTGCCAGGCGGGCCCATACATTGCCGACGGCCTAGCCTTGAGCGGTTGCGCTCGGGGCGCTGAAGAAGGAACCCTTTTCGTTGGGGAGGGCCTCAGTGTTCCTTGATTGTTTCGCAGCTTGCCTCAGGCTTTCCTTGTGTTTTCGATGGGAAATCGAAGTTTAACTTATGGAAAAAAAGGGGCCTCGTTCCTTATTTGGGGTTCCTTAGGTCAAGGCCCCTGCTGTACTCCGTCCTGGGCGCCCAGGTCGCACCCACCTGGCGTCGGATCGACCTCAGCGGCCCCGCGCTCCGCCCGAGAGCCCCCCAGAAGCACCAAGAAGCGCACCAGACCCTCCCAGACAGGCTCGACAGAGTCTATGACTTTCCAGATCGTCCCAAGCCAAGGCGTGGTTCGACATGCTCGGCCTTCCGAGCTCGGCGCCTCGTCTGGCAGTGCCTCACATGATTTTCGAGTGCCCCCCCCCCCGGTGCCTCAAGGACGGTCCCGCAACGGCCCCATCCGGGGCAACGACTGGGGGGGATGGGTATAGAGGGGGAGGCATCGATCCCCCATCGCCCATGGATCGCCGATGGGGACCCGATAGCCCCACCCCGCCCAGGAAGGTGCGGATTCACGATCGGAGGCCCACGGCGTAATCGCCGATTCCAGGTCGATGCATCCCCTCGCGTTGCCCCTCGCCCCCGTTGGGCCCAGGAGGCTCCTGGCCTTGCCCCTATCGTTGCCCCTCTTCCTCCTCCTCCTCCTCCTCCTCCTCCGCCTCCTCCTCCTCCTCCTCCTCCTCCTCCTCCTCCTCCTCCTCCTCCTCCTCCTCCTCCTCCTCCTCCTCCTCCTCCTCCTCCTCCTCCTCTCCTCCTCCTCCTCCTCCTCCTCCTCCTCCTCCTCCTCCTCCTCCTCCTCCTCCTCCTCCTCCTCCTCCTCCCTTTCTGTAGCCAGTTTGGCTCTAGATGACTGCACTAGGAGGAGGAGGAGGAGGATGGAGCCTGCAGGGCCGCTCTCCGAGAGAGCCCCTGGGCAGCCCCAGGAGGCTCCTGGAGAGCCCACGACGGCCTCGGGGAGCTTCCAGGGGTCGAGGAGGGGATCGACTGCATTGTCGATGTGTCCCGGCACTCTTCTCGGTAGAGCTTACGTGTTCCACAGATTCGACGGAGAAGCTCATCTAGGGGAAAATCAATGCTGTAGTCGATCCCACACTCGAAGAGGGCGCCACGACGGCCCGAGGGGCCCCGGAGATCCCCAAGACGGCCCAGGGCGCAAGTTGGCCGCAGGAGGGCCCCACGAGCGACCCTACAGGAACCAGATCGTCGGCCACACGCACGGCGGGGCAAGTGGGCCTCACGCCTCCTCCACGTCCGAGCCGGGCTCCGCTGCGGAGCTCGGCAGCTGTGCGTGTGGGCTCCTCCTGGGCGGTGGATCCGCATGTCTCTGCGTGCTTCCATGCACGCGGTCGACGGGCACTCGCGAGCGCACTTCTGGGCCGTGGCTGGCCCCTGGAGCATGTCATCTGGGTGTGCGCTTGTGCAGGTCAAGCGCTTGATCGCTCGCGCATCCCCACCAGAGACAATCACTGCCGATCAGGAAGTTTCAGCAGCATGCAATGAAAAATGGGGGGGGGCTGTCGCTACCTTTGGAGAGAGAGAGAGAGAGACAGATGGAAGGAAGACGAAAAGGAGGAGGAGAAGGAGGGGGAGGGAGGGAGAAGGGGGGGAGGAGAGGAAGAGGAGGACGAGGAGCTGGTAGGAGGAGGAGGAGGTAGGAGAAGATAACGAGGACGTGGGAGGAAGAAGGAGACGACGACGACGACGACGACGACGACGACGACGACGACGACGACGACGTTGACGACGACGACGACGACGACGACGTTGACGACAGGAGTCAACCATCAAGGCCTTTGCGGGTCTTTCGCCCTGGGTTGGGCCCTGTTGGGAGCATGTGTGATGCATTCGGGGCGGGTTTGGAGGCCTTTGGGGCTCTCCTGGGCCACTCTTGGGGCCCTCTTGAAGTTTTCTTGGGGCCATCTTGGGGCGGGGGCCTCTTGGGGGGCCTCTTGGGGCGCTCCCGTCTTGGGCTCCTCGGGGGCCCCTCGCGGTGCTCTGGAGCCATCTTGAGGCCTTAAGAGTTCATCGGAAGGAAAAAGCACGAAGACAGCAAGCAATGGATCCATTATGTTTTGAACTGTGGCAGCGGTCCCTGTCGCTGCTCAGACAGATGGTGCAGGCGAAGGTAGGGCCCGGTGGTATCAGCTACAACGCTGCAATCGGCGCGTGCGATAAAGGCCAGCAGTGGCAGCGGGCACTGTCGCTGCTCAGTGAGATTGAGAAAGCGAAGATAGAGCCCACCGTGGTCAGTTGGGGGAGGAGGAGGAGGAGGAGGAGGAGGAGGAGGAGGAGGAGGAGGAGGAGAGCGGGGGGAGGAGGAGGAGGAGGAGGAGGAGGAGGAGAAGGAGGAGGAGAGGGAGGAGAAGGAGGAGGAGGAGGAGGAGGAGCGCGGTCAGTGGGCCGGGTGGTGGCAGGGCCTGTGGGTTAGGGGGGCGGAGGCCCCGCATCGCTTGCCGCGGCCACCTCCCGCGGCCAGCATGGCCCTTGTCTGCCGAGGCAGCCAGATGTTGGGTGCTGCTGCGTTCTGGCACTTCGCGTCCCTCGGTGTCTCAAGGCATCCGGACGCGACCTGGTGGCCTCCAGGAGGACTGCCGCCCCAAAATGGCAAACGGACCCCCCCTCCAGACGACCCCACACCACTGAGACGGCCTCGCTGGGCCCCCAGGACCTTCGAGATGGCCTCCAGGCGCCCCACAAGAGCGCCAGAAGGAAGGCCCAAATCGCCCTCAGCTGGTACCGCTGGAGCTTGAGACGGCCCCCGCATACTCCGAGAGTGCCTCATCTGGCTCAAGAGGCTCCCAAGATCGCCCCAAGACCGCCCAGGATGTCCCAATAAGTCCCAGACTTGCCCCGATTTACCCCATCGGCAGCAGAGCCAGCAGCAGTAGCAGCAGCAGCCAGGAGCGGCGAGAAGCCGCAATCAGCAAGCACCTCTCTTGCGTTCATCAAGCTGACGAGTGGGACAACTGCCGGTGCTTCCGCTTCCCGCTCCTTCTCCCAAAACAAAGAGCAGCGAGCAGCAAGAAATGGCAAGCAGAGTCAGTCAGCAGCCGTCGTTATTAACGCCTCGCATATCCCCACCGCCCTATCCAGAAACGATGTCCCAGCGAGTTGCATTGATTAGGGAAGTGTGTGAGTGTGTGCGCATGTGTGTGTGTGCGCGAGCATGTAGCAGAACAAAGAGGGAAGCAGTCCAGTCAGCAGCAGCAGTCGCTGGCCAGCAACATTGGTTGCGGGCAGCTCTACAGCCAGTCCAATCGGCCTTGTAGCGTGCAGCGGGGATCCCAGGGCGCCCAGAACGCCCTCACCCAGCCAAGCACGCTTTAGGACAGACCACAAGATCCATGTGCTGTCGCTTGGCTGAGCCATGTCGGATGAGCAAGCGGCTTGCTGTTCGCCCTACCGGTACACACTAGTCATCAGTACTACAATTCTCGTCGTTGCGCGTGCGAGACGCGCCGGCAGTGCGCCCGCTGCCCCCGACCGCCAGGCGCGCTCCGCCGCTCTACGACGGCTCCCGAGAGCCCTCAGGTGGCTCCAACACAGCCCCAGGCAGCCCGAATCTCGTTCCCAGGACGCTCCAGAGGCCGCGAGAGCGCCCCGAGAGAGCCCGAACGGAGCTCCGCGACAGCACAGGACGTCCCGACGACAGGCCCGGTGCATCCGAAGACGGCCCAGCGGGCCTCCGACGACCGTCCCCCGAGGCCAGCGTCATACGGTGTTCCTCGGGGCTGTCCGCGTTCTCGCCATTTCCGCCCTCTTGGCGGCTTCCTCCTTTCGTGGCCTGGCCCTCACGAATTATCTGGCATTGCGCCCCATTGCCGTTGATTGACACGCCCTCTGGACTTTTCCTTGCGGGCCGCCGAACGAAAAAGTTTTCGCCAGTTCGGGCAGCGAGTGGCCCCAGACAGTTGCAGGGACACCCCAGGGCGCCCCAAGACGGTCCAGGAGGCCCCCCCCAGTCAAGTGCCCCAGGACGGCCCCAGATGGCCCGAAGACTGCCCAAGAGAAACCCAAGACAGCCTCATTGAGCTCCAGGTGGCCGCTAATATAGCCCGATAGGACCCCAGGAGCTTCCCAACAGGCACCAAAGCGAGCTCCAAGACGGCCCGAGACCCCCAACATGGCCCCAGGACGGCCCAAGAGGACCCCGATGACGGCCACACGAGGCGAAGAAAAAGCCAAAACCATGCACTGTCCTACGTTTTCCACGTTGTACCCATGGCGGGTCCAGAACCGTCCCACACGGCTCCAGATCCTTCTCAGATGCACCGAGATGGCCCAAGCTGCCCTCACGAGCCCACCAAGACGGCCAGCGAGGGCCCCAGGACGGCCCAGAACAGGCCCTGGAGAGCCTAACCGAGCTACAGGCTGCCCCCCCGAGACGCTGCAGGAGCTGCCCGGGAGGGCCCGAACAAGACTCCCAGACGGCCCCTGACCCCCCACCATGGCCCGAAGATGGCCCACAGGGCTCCCGGCACGGCCCACGCGGGCCAACGAGGATTCTGCAGACGGGCCCACGAGGCCAGAAATCAAGCAAAAACTGCGTGTGTTTCCCATGTCCCCCACGCTCTC